TGGGGGCAGCCTCATCAAAGGTTTGCACGGTGCTTTAATGCCCTTAGGGGCGTGATTCACTGCCCGGGGCTGGGTTGCAAAATGGACTAAGGAAAGGGAAGGGGGAAAAGAGAAGAAAAGTGTGCGCCCAACGTGGGGCTCGAACCCACGACCCTGGGATTAAGAGTCCCATGCTCTACCGACTGAGCTAGCCGGGCACCGGTCACTAGCTTGCAGGCAGCTCTCCTTGCTCCCTCTCTGGTTCACATGTGCAAGGACATGGGCCAAATGATGGCCTCCTCTAAGCACCTGGCAGTCCCCCCACCATTCGCCCAGGACAGGGGAAATGATGATGCCATGCCAGGGCTCTTGGCTGTGATCCTGGAGAGCTGTGCTGACCCCTACAGGACAAAGGCCAGGGTTTTAATTCTCACTGGGTGCGTCTACACATTCATTAATGCACAGTAATTATATATATATTTAATATATATATATATATCATATTTAATATTTAATGTTTGTAATATTTAATATTATTATATATATTTATTTATCTATAGAAATAAATATTTTTTGCAAAAAAAAAATAATGCGCAGCAGTTGCTACACATTTACTTTAGTACTTGCAGTATTAAATGTGTAGTAAATCCAGCTGCTGCACAGTAGCCCTGGCAAATGCCTTTTTTGTAAGGCTCCCATAAGTAACGGAGCCATCAGGGAGGTGTTGGGGCTCCAAATGAAAGGGCTGGGAGGCCAGGCTAAGGATGGCAGGTGGTAGGGCATAGAGACTGGGGTCACGCTGAGCTGCTGGGTGTTCCCACAGCCGGGACAAGGACAGGCCCAGCCCCGGCTGCTGGGCAGGTGGGATCTGGCCAAGCCACAGTGCTGCAAAGGGACGTGGCGGGAGTGAGGGACAGGGGCTGCGGGCGCCATGGAGGGAGCGGGAGGCCTGTGGCATTGTTGGGAGGTGAGGTGCATGCCCGGCAGGGCCGTGGCCTCAGGGCTGCGAGGGAAATGGAGGGGATAGAAAGGGCCCAGGTGAGGGGCTGGGGGGGACATGAGGGGCTGTGGAGGGCCAGCCCAGGGGTGCTTCAGGGTAGCACAAAGGGACCGAGGGGTCAGGCGGAGGTGTTGGGGGAAAACAAAGGGGGTCGGGCTCCGGCTGGAGGGCTCGGGGGTCCGGGCAGGACTGGGAGCAGGCTGTGGTGGTGGCAGCGGTATAAAATGGAGGGCTGGGCGGGTGCAGGTACAGCACAGAGGAGACAGATAGAGCATCCTGGGGGGAATCAAACAGAGGCCGTGTGGGACTCATGGAGGGGCCAGACCCAGGGCTGTGCACTGGTATCAGGCTGGTGATATTTGTGATGTGCTATTTCCTCACCCCTGCCAGTGTCTGACCAGTGCCGACCCACGGGACTGTGCCAGGCAGTGAATGGCCTGCTTAACCCAAAGTCTCTGCACCCAAAAACAGTTGGCTACAGCAGCACGCCACGATAAGTTTGCCACCGGCTTTGCAAATAGTCACCCGTATCCAGCCTGGCTTGGGGAGGCCAGGTTTGGGAAGCTCGGTCTGGCCTTGCTTTTGTGGGTCAGGTTAAATTGCTGTCATCTCTGCTTGGGGACGCAGATGGCCAGTTGTGAACTGGAACCATTTCACCCTGGCTTGGAGGCTGGGATGGTAGTGAGCAAGGTAGTGACGGTAGTGAGCAGCAGTGACACCCCATAACCAGCTGGAGGAAGGCCCAGGGCTCTTTCCTCCCGTGCAGCACCAGTCGGTTGCACTTTGGGGCCAGCCAGGGCACTGCACAAGGGGCCAGTTCTTAAAAACAAGGCCTCAAAGCTTGGAGCTGACTCCTCATTTCTGGACGCCTGGACCCACAGTGGGACTCCAGTCCCATGGCTCTGATCCCAGGCTTGTTGTAAGCTGGCTCTGGAGTGTTTGGGGCCTGACAAGTCCCACACACTTGTGGCCTGGTGGGCTAGAGCTGGCTTAGAAAGGTACTGGAGAGGTGGGGAATTCATTGTTTCTGCTGCCTAGGTGAGTCTGGTGTATCCCAAGGGAGTGCTTAAGGGATAGGCACAGGAGAGGTAGAGGTTGCTATGGGGTAGGCTAGTAATGGGAGGGAAGAGGAGCAAAGCAGGAGGTTCGTGCTGGGAGGAGGAGTGTGTGCACTGCTGCTATTTGCCTTTTGATTTAGGAGGGGAACAAGTGCCCCTCATGGCTCTGCCAAGTGTTTTTAGCCAGGGACCAGACAGGTTTCTCACCATGTTCTCTGCTAGAAGGACCAAGCACTGACCTGTTGTGCCCATGGTGACATAACCAACCCAAAGCAGGCTCAGGAAGCTTGTCCCAATGAACCCCAGTACTCTACAGGAATGGTTATAAGGAAACTTTAATGTAAATCTTAATTTGAGAATACAGACAGTAAAAACAGAGAAAGACAAGCGATGTCTAACCACGACGTGATTATTACAGCCGCAAGTGGTAAAATGCTCATAATACCTGGAATAGCAAGAAAGCAATCCTGGACTCTTCACAACCAGTAGCAGGTGGTTTACTGATTAACTGCACTCATGCTAACACGGCCTAAATTATTCCTCCAAAGCATCCAAAGACCTACGGAAGCTCCCACCCCAGGCGTGGGGTTTTGCTCCCTGCCGTCTCCAAGCAGAGGCAGATGTGGGGGAGCAGGGGGTGCCCGGGGGGTCTTTCCCCGAGGTTAACGGACACTCCCCCGTGTGTTCCTGGGGCAGTCTCACTGCACTCCCTGCCTCATTTTCTCCTCCAAAGCTGTCCAGCAGGAGTGTCCGACTGACTCTGTGCCTAGGCTGCATCTGGACCCCGGGGCTCCTCAAGGGCCAGGTTGGCGAGGGCCGGATCGGCTCCCCAAAAGCCAGATCGGCGAGGCAGCACTGGTGAGGTGAGCGGTGGAGGCAGTCATGGGTTTCACGCAGCCAGGTAACACCTGAGGCTCAGTTCCCTGGATTGCAGTGGCAGGCCTGCCTCCATGCACCCTGCCCCTCTCCCAGCCCTATGGGTGGATCTGGCCCATAGGCCTTCAGTTCGAGAGCCCAGTTCTGCAGATACAGGCACATGCTGTCTTGGGAGGAACTGGAGAGAGACACTTGTCGAGAAGAGCTCCCCTTAGGACAAATCCAAAGTGTCTCTGGGCCCAAACCACATTGCCTCACGAGCAGCGACTACTGGACATGGGCTGCTGATGCAAAGTACATGTGGGTCACTGCAATTAAAGTATGATGTAGTTTTGGGAAGAAAAGAAGGGCCCAGGTTCGGACCCACAAGGAGGCAATATTGGAGCCTAGGAATCCTGAAAGCTGGACACAAAACTGAATGATTATTAAGAGGAGCAAAGGCTCATGCCGAGGAGACGGCCCCATGGCAGAGATGGCCAAGCTCACGGTGATGTGCGGGAGTCTCCAATCACCCCGTGACTCCCTCAGGCACCTGAACGGGTAGGCTGCACCATTGGCCTTGCTGGGCGTCAAGTCCAGAAGCAAAGCAAGCCCAGCACAGGGGAGGAAAGCTGCTCAAGGAAGCGAGATGCCTGCTGGGATTGCTGTCACAGCCCAGGGCAGAAGAAGCACGTGGCTGGCTACTGGCAGCTCTCCCGGGAATGGGGCAGCAGGGGAGAAAGCGCCAAGGGGTTTTCACTTTGTTGCATCCCTCTCACAGAGCCAGCACTGGCCTTTTGCCGATATACAGGCTTCTCACTTTGAAGCCTTTTCCAGCACACGTGTGGCGTCGTCAGCAACATCATTCAGGAAACCCTCCAGCAAGGTGTACGTGGTATTGTAAGAAACGGTGCCTGATACCGCAGAACCTATCACGGGACACGCTATGGGGAGGATATTCTTGAAAACCAAAGCGTAATTCACTGCCCCACCTACTGCCTCGGACAGGAGCTTAATGACGAGATCTTCTGTGATTTCATGGGCCAGGGGGGACTTTATCACAGCTCTCAGCTCTTCGATGGGCTTGTTTGTGCGCCTAGCAATCCCGTCAAGGGAATCTTTATCCAGGCCAAAGTCCTGGCAGTACAGTTTCAGGGATGTCACCAGGAGAACTGCACTGCGCTCAGTGGCAAAGCCTGGCACAGGAACTACACTGGCTCCTAAGGAAGCTAAACTCTTCAGCCATACCTGGTCCATCAAATAGTTCTTCTTCTCCTTCAAGGTTTCTTTAGAGAGGTTGGACAGGGAGCGGAGAAAAGTTAATCGCTTGTGACTGGGCAGCTCGTGCAGAAGAGTCTCCTGCAGCCTGGGGAAATCATACTCATTAATGTACCAGTTTGAGACAAGAAAAACCTGTTGGAAATCCATCCCTCCTGTCTCCAGGTTTCCATTGCAGTTATCTCGGATGTTTTTCAGGATCACAGCCTCGTCGTACTGTGGTGGGCGTGAAGCAGAAGGTTTCTTCAGACATCCCGACTGATCGTACAGTCTCCGCTCGTTGTCCAAATCCTGATCCACCTTGGCGCGCACAAAGTAGAAGCGCTTCCCCAGTCCCTGGATCTCACGGGCCAGTTTGATGTCGTACTCTGTGAAGCGCGTGCAGGAAATGATGATGAAAAAATCATAGCGATCGAACTGCATCTGTTGGAGGTATGTGTCTGCTCGAAGTGTTGGTGTCCCAATTCCCGGCAGGTCCCAGATAATGACATTGGGATTTTGAGAGTGTGGGAAACAGGCAGGCTTAAATGTTGTTTCTGTCACTCCTGTGGAAGCTGTGTCCTTATCTCCATCGTCCAGACCATGCATGGCATTGACAAAGGATGACTTGCCAGAGCCTGCGATCCCTGTGACGGCAATGTTGAGACCCACCTTGTCTAGATTGCCCAGAACCTCTCGGGTTTTCGAGGCTACTGCCTCAAGGTTTCCTTTCCGTAGTGCAGCCTTCAGTTCCTCCTGCTGCTCTGGGGGTATGGAGGAAAAGGGTTCAGGACCTAAATTCTCACCAGCACCAGCCATGGCAGCTCCTGTAAGGTGCTCTGGAGCCTGCGGGGAGGAAAGGAAAGGTTTTTCATTAGGGTTGACTGGCTCGTAGCAGGAGGGAGGGGAGCTGAGCTGAGCTGCAGGGAGGGTGCCTCGGTGTCCCCAGCATGGGCTGATCAGGGCAGCGATTACCCCGGCCACCCCCCTGGTGGGGGCTCAGATTCACAGCCCAGTGTGAGAGCAGTGATCCCATCCAGCCCCCAAATGGCTTTCCTGGGAGGGCACGTGCTCCAGGCACGGCTTGGAAGTGGGGCCACCTCCCGCTGCGGAGCCAGCCCAGTCCAGCCCTGGGCAGCAAGGGGTCTGGAGACTGCGGAGAAGGGTCCTGCCCCGTCTCACCCTGGCCTTCGACTCAGGCTCCCCTCCCTGGGCAGCACGCCCTCCCCTGAAAGGACTCTCAGAGGTTGGTGGGTCTCTGGCATCGCAGCCCCATCACTTCACAAGGCAGCGGGCTCCTGTGACTCCCCGGTGCCAAGCAGGGTGGATACAAATCAGCTGGCGGGGGGCTCAGGGCACTGGCGGCTGGCAGCATACACCACACGTACACGCACACACACACATATTTTTGAATTATTATGCAATCACCTCTGTACAGACTATGCAAACACAAAGCATGGCAAAAATATTTTTGGAATGAGATTAAAATCTGTTATAGTAGGTGTTTGACTTTTAGTGTATGATTTGGTTTTCTTCTGGGTCTAAGATGGCAATCCCCCCCTCCCAAAAGGAGTATTTGGAGAACAGGCTGAGGGGGGCAGGTGGGAGTGGGGCCGCAGCCATGGTGCAGGGTAGAGCCGTGCCCCAAGGAGAGCGGGGCTGGGGCTGGGACTACAGCCATGTTGAGGGGTAGAGGTGCACCTTGAGGAGAGCGGGGCCAGGGCTGGGGCTGCAGCGTTGTGCAGGGTAGATACATACCCCAAGGAGAGCGGGGCTGGGGCTGGGCCCGCAGTCATGTCGCAGGGTAGAGCCGTACCCTGAGGAGAATGGGGCCAGGGCCATGTTGTGGGGTAGAGCCGTGGCCTGAGGAGAGCGGGGTCGGGGCCAGGGTCGCGGCCATGTTGTGGAGTAGAGCTGCGCCCTGAGGAAAGTGGGGTCGGGGCCATGGCTGTAGTGCAGGGTACAGCCGCACCCTGAGCAGAGCGGGGCCAGGGCCACGGCCATAGTGTGGGGTAGAGCCATGACCTGAGAAAAGCCGGGCCAGGGCCACAGCCACGGTGCAGGGTAGAGCAGCACCCTGAGGAGAATGGGACCAGGGCCGGGGTCGCAGCCATTGTGCAGGGTAGAGCCGTGCCCCAAGGAGAGCGGGGCTGAGCCTGCAGCCACAGTGCAGGGTAGAGCCGCATCCTGAGGAGAACAGGGCCGGGACCATGTTGCGGGGTAGGGCCATGCCCTGATGAAAGCAGGGTCGGGGTCGGGGTCAGGGTCGCAGCCATGGTGCAGGGTAGAGCCGTGCCATGAGGAGAGCAGGGCCAGGGCCACGGCCATGTTGCAGGGTAGAGCGGTGCCCTGAGCAGAGCGGGGCTGGGGCCGGGGCTGGAGCCATGGCACAGGGTACAGCTGTGCCCTGAGGACAGTGGAGCTGGGCGACGGCCGGCCGTGGCTATGAATCTATGAGAGCGGCAGTGGGCATAAGCTGCACGCCAAGGGCAGCATTGACATGGCCATGGTGTGGGGTAGAGCTGAGGAAGCCAGGGCCGGGGGGGCCGGGGCCGGGGCCATGGTGGCGGGGGGGGCCGTGGCGTGGGGGGGCCACAGCAGGGCTCTAGAGCTGCGGTCTCAAAGTAGCGGCAGGTGGGAGCCGTGGCCTGAGGGAAGCGGGGCCATGGCCACGGTGCGGGGTAGAGCCGTGCCCCGAGGAGAGCGGTGGAGGGCGAGAGCCATTGCCGACAGCGGGAGGAGATGCGCGCAGCGTACCCCACACCGTCCATTGCTCCTCCCGCTGCTGGCGGCGTGGCTGTGCCCCCCCCGTAGACCTACCTGCAGGGAGCTGCCGGTGCTGCTTTCCACCGTGCCTGGCTGCTACGCGCGTGTGTGCCCGTGCCTCCCTGTGTGCGACCGCCCTGCTACGACAGCCTGTGTTTTCCGGCACTCTTTTATCCTTTAAAGGAGAAAATCTTGCTGCGCGTGGCGTCACAGAGGCGTGGACATTGCCTTGGACTAGGCAAGCCTAGTGGACTCCAAGATGAACATGAGTCGGCAGTGTGACGAAGCCATCAAAAAAGCCAATGGCACTTTATCGTGCATCAGCAGATGCATGACGAATAGGTCCAAGGAGGTGATACTTCCCCCCTCTCGGGCGCTGGTCAGACCGCAGTTGGAGTACTGCGTGCAATTCTGGGCGCCGCAATTCAAGAGGGATGCGGATAACCTGGAGAGGGTCCAGAGAAGGGCCACTCGTATGGTTAAGGGCCTACAGACCAAGCCTTACGAGGAGAGACTAGAGAAACTGGATCTATTCAGCCTCCGCAAGAGAAGGTTGAGAGGCGACCTTGTGGCTGCCTATAAGTTCATCACGGGGGCACAGAAGGGAACTGGTGAGTATTTATTCACCAAGGCGCCCCCGGGGGTTACAAGAAATAATGGCCACAAGCTAGCAGAAAGCAGATTTAGACTAGACATTAGGAAGAACTTCTTCACAGTTAGAGTGGCCAAGGTCTGGAACAGGCTCCCAAGGAAGGTGGTGCTCTCCCCTACCCTGGGGGTCTTCAAGAGGAGGTT